ATTCAGGATGCTGTGGCGAACTGGCCCCCTTGTGATCATTAGCTAGAAACTGGCGATGGGAATTTTGCGGCAGATGGTCGTGCGAACATAGATACATAATGTCACGGGCAACGGCAATTGTTTAACAACAGCTGCAGTTGTCGACAAGGCAGCGGTAGTTACGCAGCAGGGCGGTAGTAGGTAGTAAGCAGTAGTACTGGAGTCACTGCAGCCGTAGCAATCGTAGCAGTAGTCCTCGTCGTCACTGTCGTCGTGCTATTAGCAGCACGGAGAGGAGGAGGAGCAGCAGCAGTCGCAGTCGCAGTCGCAGTCGCGATTGCAGAAGTAGTAATAGTAGTAGCAATAGTTAAATTATAGTAGGAACAGCACCACTAGTAGTCGTCGTCGCCAATGTCGCCGTAGCATTACGAACAGCAGCTGCAGCAGCGGCAGCAGCAGCAGCAGGCGGAGGCGGTATTGCTGCTTTTGCCATCAACACTACCCCCGCATAGCCAAAGCAACTACCGTTGCCGGTGCTTACGTATGTTTGCTTCTGCTGTCATTCTAGCAGTTCTGTGACAACCACTTCCTCTGTTGTAACGGCGTTGCCCTGTTTGCGCTCATTTCTGTTCGTGCTGTTAAGCATGAGGCGCAACTCTTTGGACTGTCCTTGCAGAATTCACACTTGTTTCATGTCGTTGCGAACCTTGTGAGGTCTTGTCTCGCTGCGTTTCAGTTTCCGCATCAGTGTGCCTTACAAGCACCCCTCTGACTGACCTGGTCAGGCTCAATAGCTGGCGTTGAGGGTGAGACTCGGGCTCATTCTTAGACATGCCATCATGTGCGGTGTTGCGAAGCTGGTATCGAGTGAACACTACGAGAGATTCGAAGCTCGGGTGAGATTCGCATCCCGCACGCTGACTTGATAAGCATGCGCGGCAGGATTTTAGAAAACTCCTACCAGTGACAGGAGCCTCCTTTGTGTTGAGGGCTTGAGTTGCTTCGCAGAAGGTCCACGTTTAGGAACATAGCACATCTTTCAGAACTATTTATAGAATTTAGAGCATAGGCAAGCTGGGGACCCTACAATTACAACACAGAACTGAACGAGCTTGCGGTATATGGCGTTTTCTCATTGGTGGGGGCTTCAGGTTCTGCGTTTAGCTTTCGAAGAAGTGTTCGTCACGTTTGGGGCGCTGACTCTGGGTGTCGGCAAGATCTTGGGGCAGGGTCTACTCGTGGGGATGGTTCGGTAAGCCTATAGTCATACCTAAGTTTCTTGCAAAGGCTGGAGGAGCCCGTCGTAGCTGTCGCCGGATGCAGCGCTAACGCAGGGTGAGGGCATTACTTGCCTTTATTTGCCTTCCTCGCGGCGGCTTGCGGCAGAGGAGTCTAGGTGTCTCGCTGGAGCTGACGATTCAACAGTACCTGTAGTCTCCATTGTAGTTCCTTTTTGGGGATACCTTATAAAATCCTTAATATATAATTGGTTAAACCAAAAAAACGAACTACAATGGAGACTATAGGTAGCCTTGGAGCTGGCGTTTCTTCCGCTCAGGGGCTGCCATGACACAAGACATTAGTTAGTTATGACCACATACCTGGTGGGTGAGGTTGTAGCTTCTCACGCCTGCAGTAAACGCCTCTCCATACTGATGCAGCTTTGGTTTTTAATCCGGCTGGCAAGGTCGTTTCTGCAATAGATGGCCTCTTATTCCACTCACCAGCTCGGAGTCTTGAGGTGTGCTCGTGAACTGTGGCGGGGAACTTCAAGGTCAGAGCGACAAGAAGACAATGCTCGGATGGTATAAGACAGACCAACGGCAGAGAGAAAGAGAGCAAAAAACAGTGCAAACAACATGGAGTTGGGGACAAGGGGAGAGTCCAAACATTCGAGTCTTCCCTCTCATGCTGTGCGCAGTCAGCTGTGGCCGGCTCCCTCTTGTGTCGGGCGCAGGGACGGCCAAGGCTGCCTTGCAAGAAGCTCGGAGATTCTGGGTTTATTAAATACGGTTTCGGTCGAATGCAAGGGCGGAAGGGAGGGTGGGAGGAGGGAGGGACTGGTAATTCAGAGTTTTTGAGCCCGTACTGAACAACAGGTTTGGTGGCTCAGGGTTTGCAAGAACTGGCCGAAACACGGAAGCCAGCGAAGGCCGGGGGAGGGTTTGAAGGCCGGGGTTCTGATTCCAAGACGTTCAGAGCGCGTGAACAAGAAGAAAGCAAGGGAAGAAATTAAGTCGACGAGCTGACCAGAACCTGCATGTCGTACGTTGAGGGGAGGCAGAAGAGGGACAGCTGGTGTACATCGATATAAACGACCTTGCTGGCTGAACACCTAGACATAAGTTCACGCCCAAATAGATTGCGCCCATGCTTTGAAGTGCTTGGCAAGCGAAGAACCCATGCCGCCTGCCGAGCACCTTGGGGCAGCAGCAAATCTGCAGAACCAGCTACTAAAGCCGCCAGGTCTCTTGGCAAAGGAGACAGATTCCTGGCCCTAAACCCTAAACCCTAGATAGATAGAATTTGTCCCGAGATCTAAAGTGTCGACTTAGGTTTTCAGGTACGAATATCGGGCAGACATGGTTCGTTGGTTCGTGCATGTCATATCCTTCCATGATTCTCGTGATATTGCTCGGCGGACTTGGTAAGTTTCTTAAGACCGCTGAAGCAAGCTTTAGCTGTGATAGTGCTGAGTCGTGCTCCGGTGGCCTAGATCGGAGTTCAAGAAGTCTGGTGCCTGGTTCGTGATCGTCATGCTGTTCAACTCTGTGGCCTCAGACAGGCATTGTGCCAAAGTGGCCAAAGTATCGTAGTAGAGTAGGTAACCTCTAACTTTTTTTGGGCGTAATAATCCCCCTCTCGAATCCCAAAGGCCAGAAATTGAGCCAAGAGTCGCTGGTTCTGCACACTTCACGTGGCCGATCCTTCTGCACGACCGCTTAAAGTTCACAGCACTGTTTCCTAGAATCTGGCCTTTCGTTCAGATGACCGAGAAAACAAGCAAGCTTTTGCATGCTTGCGCCTGTGATGGTGTGATGGAATGCCTGATGTCCAGCAGGCAGCCTTATCCTTTCCAAGGAGAGTATGGTCCAAATGTCAATCCAAAGCTTATACCTTGTATTCGGATTAAAGCCTCTAGACCTCAAATCCCACGCCTTGCTTGGATTGCAGAAACCCTGAACTCCGAAACCCCTTCAAACCCCAAACTGGAGAGGTAGGACTGTAACAAGATCCAGCGGCCCAGCTTTAACCAGCCGGGCTCAAGCACTGCTGCGCCTCTTAGAGTATCATTTGAGTATCAAATTTGGGTTTAAGTGCGGAGGTGAAGGATCTAGAGATTAAGGGACTTGAAGGGTGGACATGTGTCCAGGGAACCGTTGTGTTCGTGTGTCGCGTTTGCCCCAATCAGGAGTGGCACATGTGTCCTAGAATCACCTGGGCAACAAGTAAGGTGATTTTGATGGCGAGACTCTGGTTCTTGCAGCTCAGCAGCTTTTCAGTGGGTTGGATGAGACTGTGATGTCCGTTTATCTTCATCCACGAATGCATTTCAGAAGGCCTTGCCGGCAAAACGGAACCCTAAATACTCCCGTCTTGCCTGATAGACCTCGCCTGGCTTGTCCGAGTTATCCCCCTCTGTCAGCCGGGCTTGTGGGAACAACCATCACCCGGTGGTTCTTTAAACCCTAAGCCCTTAAACCCCAAACCCCTAAACCCTAAACCCCTGTAAACTCCTAAACATCTAAACACCTAAGCCCTAAATCCCTAGACCCCAAGCCCTAAATCCCCAAACCCCTAGATCCCTAGACCCGAAACCCTACCTCCCTAACTCTTTGTCATAGTTGGATAACATTTTACATTTTTAAAGGTACTTAAACCCAATAAGGAATATACATGTAAATTTTTAATACTACCCCAACCATGAACTAGAACTGAGGTAGATCGCTCAGCCGGCACTGGGCCTCCGATCTTCCGCGTCGTGCAGCTGGAAAGCCCCTTGGATCTCGAGCTTCAGAGCTCCTCGTACTTGGAGGTCCCTTTAAGGGATCTATAAGGGTTTAGGGTTTAGGGTTTAGGGTTTAGGGTTTAGGGTTTAGGGTTTAGAGGCTATCAGGGCCATATTTGGAGGTTCCTGGGTAGTTATACTGTAAGTAGGGTAAAAAGTAGGGTAACTATAATTCTGACCCTATTCGGGGACTTATAACCCCACTTATAACTACCCATGAACCTCCAAGTACGAAGAGCAAGGTACTGTAAAATGAGTAATACTAGAATACTCCTTTAGGGTTCAGGGTTGTAGGGTTTAGGGTTAGAGTAAAACTGGTAATGCTAGATTTCTACAAGCTAGAACTTCTACGACCCTTGTAGTATGCAAAGGTGCAGTGAAGATGGTTTAGTGAGTCTAGTGAGGTAACGCAGGATTTGGGCACTGTTCTTGGAGCAGGCTTCCGCGACGGTGCAGATGGCCACTGTTTCCTAAACCCTAAACCGATGTTGTGAACACATTTCGGAATGAAAGCAAGCACTACAGCCACCACGCTGCGGAGGAACCCGGCTCGGCGAGGGGAGGGTCCCCTAAATGTAGGGGCTTAAGTAAATACCAATACTATTTTGGGGGTTCCTTATTATAAATATAGCATAATGGGCACCAATATCCTATTCTAATTATTAAGGCCCCTATACGAGGTTCTGTTCTAGCGAGAGATGTACTTGAGCCAAGGTAGGGCTTTCAGAGCAGGCACGGCCACAACGAAAATACCACCAGATCAGAATCTGATGGCACTTCTTGTGGCTACGGCTCAAGTCAGCCTTTGGCTCGATGTTGAGTATTCTCGGCAGCTTCGCGAAAGACATTCTCACAGTCCTAACATAGCGTGACTCATGCGATGCTATCCTATCTCGACATGGCAAGGATCAGCCCGAAATCATAGTGCCAACGAGTTTCCCCTACCCGTTTCTGGTCTATGGCTGTGCTTAGCTGAACTTCCTGAGAGCTGAACTGCCCCGCCTGCGGCGCCATGCAAGTATGCCTCTTTCTCGTTACGACCACGGTTGTCGCTCTCAACTCGCTGTATTTCAAGCGGATGCTCAACTGCTACCGCAACATTGGAGGCTTTGAGCAGCATGACTACTCGGTTTTCGTGTCCGTCTTCGACATCCTGCTTTGGGCACTCTTCATGTCCGCCGTCGCGCGTGCCACAGGTGCCAGACCGTTGCAGCTGGCTGCGTTCCCTCGTCGGGCCTTGCTCCGTGTGGCCGCCGTGGACCAGCTAGGAACTCTCTTGGCCAGTGTGGGTGCGACTCACCTTGCCGGCCAGGTTCAGGTGCTGATGAACCAGTCTGTGCTGCCGCTGACCATACTCCTGTCTTTGCTGCTTGGCCGACGCTTTTCATCAGGGCAGCTCCTTGGTGCGGGGGTAGTTCTTGCCGGCGCCGTCTCGGCCGTGCAGCTCAATGGCGCGGCTGTGTCGGCTTCACAGCTACTCCTACGAAGCCTCTTCATATTTTCGGCCGCACAGGTGGCTGTGGCATCTGCCACCCTTCTCAAGGAGGCGCTCTTGCAAAGGCCCGCAACAAGCCAGCGCACAAACGAGTTCGATGAGGCGATCTCACTGGGCGTAGCGATCGCTTGGAGGCGAGTGCCTATGGGCATTGCCCTAGCGCTTCTCGTTCCGCTGAGGGTGCAGTCACACAGCCGAGGCTTGTGGGCAGACCTCCGTGATGGGTTCCTCTGCTTCTGTGGACAGCAGCCTCGCTTTGGAGACCTCGGCTGCCCTGCTGCCGCCGGGACGACCTTCATGAGCGTCGGCTTCTACTCTCTGCAGACCTTCCTTTGCCTGAGGCTCACGCAACAGGCCGGCGCCACCATCCGCAGCATTGCAGCGGTGACAGCCCTTCCGCTCGCCCAGCTGCTTTTTGCGCATTTTTCAGGTTCCGAATCCGAAGGAGAGGAGCTCGGCACAAGGTCATTGATGGGGCTGGTCCTTTGCCTCGGCGGCTTTGCCATCTACACCTCTGCGGAGAAGAGGAAGGACGGGGCGCCCCAGCCTAGTGGCCTTGAGGAGCTGGAGGAGCGTCTACGAAAGCTGGAGCTGGATGTGCAGAGCGATCTCCCAAAGCCGGCAGCAGAAGACGAGGGCACCAAGATCCTCCAAGCGGCGGACAACCTCGCCCTTTCGGGCGACGAGCGCAGTCGCAGAAGAGCCTTGGTTCAGAATGTCAACCGTCTGCTGGACTCGATTCCGGAGGCATCGTCCGGCAGCCGACCTTGAAAGCACAACCGGCTGAGCTCTACCCGGCTGTAGCTAGTGGTGGTTGATTTGGCGAGGATTAAGGCGATTGAGTTCTGCGCCCAGTCATCGATCTAGGTTATCACTGGATGGCTCAATGTGATATAATGTGACCGGACCAGTGCAGCCCCGCCTGGAGTTCAGAGTTGTTGCGTGAGGTCCCAGGGTTCAGCTGACTTTTGTCAACCCGGGCTGAGATAGTGGCTATGGGTGTCCATGTCCGGTGACCAGTGGGCTCTTGCACAAGAATTTTCGCCGTGATTAGTTGTCATGAGTGAGGTAGACAACCAACATGTGCCGATCAGATCATACGTCACTTGCGAACCGTCCAAGACAGCTTCGGAAATACATCAGTAGTACCAGATACATTCTTAAATATCCTTTATAAACCCAAAACCCCCAAACCCTTCCGGTGCACACTGTCATATCCCTTACTTGCTTTTGCGGTTCTTCCTCCGACTCCCGACCTCGACCTCGCCAGGAAACGAACACCTGGAGCACCTCAGCTACAAGAGTGTAGGGTTTAGAAGTTTAGGGTTTTAGGAGAGAGGGTGTGGGGCTTAGGGTTTAGGGTTTAGAAATTCAGGGTTTTAATTTTAGGGTAGCCTGCAAGAAGCCCGGATGCAAACAAGGGGTTTAGGACTTAGGGTTACGGGTTGAGGGTTCTCGGATGCGGAATGTGGGCGGTCTTAGGGCTTTTGTTTTGCTCTGAAGTTAGAGCCGTATTTTTTGGTTTTAACACCTTTTCCAGTGGCAGCCTTTTGGCAGGTGGATCCCGCAGGCAGCCGCCAATACATGCAAGTTATGTTATGTTATGCCTTGAGTACGAGAATTGACCCTGACCCTGAGATGCTCTGTGAGACACCACCAAAGTCACGTGCTGCCATTCCGCAGCATGTCCCGAAGACTTCCACGTCTGCGTGGGACGGATTAGCGTGTGGGCTGTTAGGCGGATCATCTTTTAGCGGTTCGGGTTCTAAGAGTGTAGTTTACCCTGCAACGCTGGGGTCAGAGTCGCGTAGGAGGTCGAACACTCCATAGAAACAAGTGTGGGTACCTACGGGAAGGGATGCCGAGACCGGAGGCGACTCGAATTTTGTTGCACGCGCTCGTTAAGGATTGAAGCAATGCCGAGAGCCAGCATGGCTTCCGTCATCCGCTTGCCACTTGGCATGCGCAGATGTTCCTCGATTTTTGTCGTCTTGGGAGATGGCGCTTGAGTGGTGCTGGTGCTGATGACGAAGATGATGAAAGCGACGTGAAACACATGTTGCGAAATTTTTGCGAAGATGAGCGAGACTGGCAGCCACTTGATGACTTCATGTTCATTGTAGGTGAGGCTTCAGTCAGTTTTCGAGAGAGCTCCTCGAGCTGCTTTGCTTCGGTTTCGGCCGATGCTACTACCTACATCACTACGGCTTGGGACGAAGGGCTTCCCGAGCTGACCAAGTTCACAAGCTCAAGCCCTCAGGTGGTGTGGTTCGTATCTGGTATATTCCGTGGATTCTTCTCTCCTGGTCTACGACTATCGAGACAAGGACAGCAACAACTTCAGTTGAAGAATTCCGGTCGCAGCAACTCAGTGTCGCGGAGTTCTCTTATCACAGTAGTCTTCTGACATATGGGAGTTTCCGAAAATAGGGGTACCTTATTCTGGGGGTCCTTAAAATAAGGGACCTACTATTTAGGATACTATTTTAGGGTCCCCTATTTTCGGAAACTCCCATATTCTGAAGGGTGTAGACGTCAGAACTCTCTGAGATCAGGAGCTGAAAGCCACGATCACAGGGCACCGGGCAGCTCCTTCGGCCTTCTTACACCTTCTACGTTTTAGGTTTGGGGTTTTGTTGTGGGCTCCTTTCAGGGTTCTGCTTGGGAGAGTATGAGGGTATGTATGGGTGTACTATCAGGTTTACCGTGTTGTCCCGTTGTAGAGTAAGAAAGGTCGTGGCTTCGTTTTTGTTGGGGAAAAGGTCGCAAAGTCTTCCTCTGGAAATTGAATCGCACTTCGGCGGCATCCCACGAAAGAGCAGCCTCCTAGGTACCCACTTTCTTCCATTGTTCTGGTGACATGACAGTACTGGGCCCATCCAAGAAGACATGGACCCCACATGGGATAGTTACCCATATCCGCGAAGCTGTCAAGCTTTGAGCAGCTCCCGTCGATGCCCATATGGATGTGACGGCAGCGAACCAGCGCACTGAGTCGAAATCATGGGGTCCTTATGAAAGTTGAAAACCGACTTGGAGACTTCATCATCAGACTCTGTTGCTTCTTCAACAAACCTAGATCTTGCATCAACTATCCAAAGCTGGCAGGTGCTTTGTCTTCTCTTATGCGAAAATCCGGGTCGGAAGTCAGTAGTAGTAGGAGTAGCGGTAGCAGTAGCAGTGGCAGTAGCAGTAGATGTAGGGGAAGGAGGAGGAGGAGTAGTAGTAGTACTAGCAGTAGCAGTAGCTCGTGCCCCCTTGCTATGTTTATCCTACAACATACACCTCGATATTAAATTCATTCCTCAGGAAATCGTGGCAGTCGACACGCAAGACCCAGAGATCCTTGCGACTTTGGCTCGGGATGTGCCCCTGCAGCATTTAGGGTGCAGGGTTAGGGTTTTAAGGTCTCTAGCTCTTTCGCTGAGGGTTTAAAGTTTAGAGTTTACGGTTACCCGGTTGTCTGCAAGCTGCGTGTGATCCAGCGATGGCACAGTAATGCTTCCGCAGAATCACAATGGTAGTAGTCGCCGTGGCTGGGGCTTTCGTCAGTGGGCGATAGCCTTTTTCACTCTGAACAGAATGTCCAGAAAGTTGAACCTCGGTCATGATTTGGAGCTGGACCCGTCGGAAAAGCAAAGACTGCCTTGCCCGCATGCCCGAACCATGCAGTTTTGCACTGCTAAGCCGGAGCTTTCAACCTTCGACCCTGAGAATTTCCCCAGCACAAGGCCTCAGTGAAGCTTTGGAACGGACGGACCGGGCAGTGCATGACTACCGTGTTGCTCGCTTGCAAAATTTCAGATCGATTCAGTTCTCCCTTCAGAAGGGCAAGTGTGTCCGTGTGTGCTTCCGTCCGTCCGTCTATATGTGTATATGTATGGACATATATTACGTGTATGTATGTATGTATGTATGTATGTATGTATGTATGTAGGTATGTATGTATGTGTGTATGTATGTATGCATGTTTAAATTTTTGTATGTATTTATGTAAATGTATGTTTAATTGTATGCGTATGTGTAGACTTACAAAAAGAAAGCCGCACATGCACGCGCACTTATTTGTCTCCTTTGTTCACTTGCTTTTGCGTTTCAGAAGATTGGGTCAGCATCTGCCGACCGCGGCTGGAAACACATTACGAGCTTGCGGAATTCAGCAGTTCGGCATGTCTCGAGCCACTAGAGAGCTCAGCTTCTGTGAGGAGGGAACAGGAAGGATTCACAATCCCAAAGGGGCCACATGATGTATTATACAGTATATTACATACTATATGATAAGCCGCGCAGTCTACTAAGGGGCACAAGTGTTGCTCCAATTCCGGTTGGAAGTTTTCGCTGAGATGGAGAGAGTTTTAACATCGTTAACATCGTTGCTTGAAGCATCGCAAACGGCCTTGGGCGCCTGTGCAGGTTAGAGCAGAGTGCAGCTTGACCCTAAACCCTAAACCCCTAAACCCCTAAACCCCTAAACCCTAAACCCTAAACCCCTAAACCCTAAACCCTGAAAATGTTTTAATGTTCGACAGTCGAGGGCTGTGGCAGCTGTCAGGCACTTCCCAGATGCTCACTACTTCATGGAGTACCCGTACTGTCTCTCCGATCTCGGGCTGCACTTGGTAGCATGTAGGGGCAGCAGCAGAAGCTAGCAGTTGTGTGGAGGTTGGTGGTCGTCGTGATGGAGCAGTATTAGGAGTAGTAGTAGTAGTAGTAGTAGTAGTAGTAGTAGTAGTAGTAGTGTAGTAGTAGTAGGAGGACGAGGAGGAGGAGTAGTAGATCCACAATGATTTCATGGGGTGTCCCGAAGTAGGTTAGGTAGGGAGTGTGAAGGTGCAACAACCTTAAACCCCACAGCGAAGCAGTGGGAAAAAAGCACCTGGATTCGGGGCACCCTGAGAAAGAAGACTCAATGCCCAAAACTCCATGAAAACCTGGAGAAGAACAATCGTCCAAAGCTCCACTTGCAGCCCGAGGTGAGCGGTCACAGAATTCTGGTGTCTGCAGATGAAGGCGTGTTTCTGACTGAGTTAGAGCAGACGCCAGCTGTGCCTTAATGTCTGCTCGTCGGGATGATTGTTTAGAATGCGGAAACCGGCGGGGGTCAAGAGCTGATCGTATGCTAGCAGCTGCTGGTGATTGCTTTGCCGTGAATTTGTTGGGTGTGGGCAGAGTTCCGTGCTTTCCATGATGTTGGAGGCTAGGATTCATAATTAGAGTCGCTATTGTCACACACTATCTAGACGTCATACTCTTCTTCTTCAACAGCCAAGACTAGCGGAATCGCAGCAATCAGCAACGGATGGGCGAGCATGCAGAGAGGCTGCTGAGGGTCTGCACAATTGCGCTTTCACCCCAGGCAAGCTCAGTTTAGAGCGGCCGCGAGTTTTCGAAGTCTGTTTCACCTCATTCTCACTGCAGCTGGGAGCGCATGTGCCCAAACATGGCCTGGGCGAAGGCATATAATGCTATAGTCCTGAAAGAGTAAGACGAATTGATGTTAGACTCTGAGACTATGCCGCTATAACGGTACCTACAGGTCACGATCAAAAATCGGAAGCTCCACCGGCCCGAGATTCTCAGATGTTGGGGACTAGGATGCTCGCAGCGCGTGCAGCAAAATAGAATGCTCGTGGAACTGAGCTCAACCCGCCGGATAAGCACAACCGGCCCGAGAAAGTGTGTCATGAGAGCTGCTCAGACTGTCAGGAGCATGCCGTCATTATTATTATTATTGTTATTATGATTATGATTATTATTATTATTATTACCACTACTACGATTGTTAGATTATTGTTAGTTTTGTAACCATTCCCGAACATCTCCAGAAACCCAAGCGATTCTACATAGAATGCTCCCAAGGAGACCCGGCGTCACTTGCCACGGTGGGTGGAGGCCGTTCTTCGGTAGCGAGGGCATGTAAGGGCTTGGGGTGGCAATAGCACGCTCCAAATGTGCTTTACAGGTCAAGGGCTTCCAATTTCAATGCAGTGAAGCGATATGCTTTACGTTCACTTTCGTGTGCAGACTTCGAAGCGGATGCAGCCCCGTCTCGAAACCGGCGTTCTCTTCCTCAGCAAAGATCGTGCGGGTGTGAAGGAAGCGAGATACAGAAAGGCATGGGCAAGAACCCTAAACCCTTAAACCCCTAAACCCTAAACCCAACCTTAAGGAAGGAGAGCAAAGGAAGCCACCGGGCACTGAGCAAAGCACCAGCGACATACCTCTCGGTGTCCTTCAAAAGTCGGTTTGGGGTTTTGGGTTCAGGGTTCAGGGGTTTAGGGGTTTAGGGTTTGGAGCAAGCATGAGGAAGTTCGTATCCGCCGAAACCGTCATGCCTTACCGCAACCATCTGCTGTGTCATTCAGCGCCGATTTCTTGGACCAACGCGATAAAGATCAGCCTGCAGAGCAAACTGCAGCCAACAACCAGCCAGACATGCACAATTCCTTCTTGGACATGTTTTTGTGGCAAGTATCCTTCTGCCCCTCAACTCCTTAACAAGGGAGCCAGGGATTAATTTTGGATTACAGCTCTGATTGTCCAAGCCCATCCTTGCATCTTATGACTTATGAGCTGCATGCTGTTGCTTCAGACCCTTATGGACGACCGGATATCCATGCACCTCAACTTCAGGTCGTGTGTTGTCTGAGGATTTCCTGCACGTGCCGATTGCTCGGGTAGACGTTCATTTCAAGCAGCCGCCAACATCCTGAAAACTCGTGCTGCTACATTTTTCCGGCTGACGACCAAGATGTTTCAGTTCTTGTCGCCATCCCTTGGGGCAGCCATCGCCGAATTTTGCTGCGGTGCAGAGGTCCTCCACGTCGCGGCTCCTGATTTAGGATCATATTTCGTGCCGAGCATCATGATCGTGCTCCACATGTCCGATGTATCCGCTGCCGTTGTTGTGCGTGTATTTCTTGGTGCCAGCTTGTGACCCGTGCCGGATGCCTTGGCTTGGGGCAGATGGTGCTTTCCCGTATCCGATGCAGAGTCCTCATAGTCGTCGCCCACTCTCTACTTGGGAGCTTGCGAAAATTAGGGGTACCTTATTTTGGGGCCCTTATAATAGGGATCCTACTATTTCGGGTGCTATATTAGGGTCCCCTATTTTCGGAAACCCCCACTTCAGCTTGCCCTGACCTCCCAGCTTGACCGAGCGGGGAATCAAAGCCTTCAGGTCGGCTGTGAGTAGAGATGCATGTGATGTGACTCTCATAACCAGCCGAGTGCATCCTCGGATCCGCCATGTGGAAGCCATAAATTTCGTGCGTTTGGCGATCCAGCGGCTTTGGCTGCTCATTTTGTTGTCGGCAGATGCCATTGCCCACAACACTATGCGTCGTAGAGCTACTGCAGCAGCCTTGGAAAAAGCCGCTCCGAGACGCAGCCTGAGCAGCTTCTCCACCCACCTCCATCCTGGGTTTTAGGTTCTAGGGCTTAGGGCGCATCTCGCTACGAGTGCGATGTGATGCGAGGGAAGTTGGCCGGCGAGCTCCAATCAGGCGTGTGTAACAAGGGGTTAGGGGCTTAGGGTTTAGGGTTAGCATCTGTAGACATTGACTTGACTAAACCAATCTCTCCGGGATGTCCTTGGCGCCGGCTGCCTACACTGACGTCCACTCGTTTACGTTGCCTGCGTGCATGAATCAGATCGACCCACAAGTACTACAGGGTCCTATTTTGGACTACTTATAGTGTTGTGTTGTAAATACCGAAGAGAAAAGCTAAACAAGTGCGTACCGAATGTATTACATATACATCACGTGTATATATATATATATAAGATAGTATATATCATATAATATAAGATATATTATAATATAATATAATACAATACTGGCTGGATTCGATCAACATCAAGGCCATCGCCAGGGGACTCGCGCAAGCAGTGAAGGATGTCGAAGAAGAGTGGGGGACACTCCGAGCTGCTCTGCGCAACTGACGTCAGAAGCCAATGGCGGTGCCGCGTTAGGAAGGCGCTGCGGTCTGACAGCTGGGTCGCAGTCTAATATAGTATAATATAACATACTGTCAGATAAAATTGCATAGTTTAGTATAATACAATATAATAAACGATGCTGTGATATGCTAGGATATAATATATATATATATATGTATGTATGTATGTGCTATATATATATATATACACATGTATATATAGATATATACACGTATATAGTGTAAATACATGTACGCGCATACATACATTACATACCAACATACAGACATGCAGACATACAGGATCATACAGGCATACAGAGATGCATACAGACAACGCCTGCCCAGAAACAGACACAGACAGAGAGACAGACACAGACAGACAGACAGACAGACAGACAGACAGACAGACAGCCAGCCAGCCAGCCAGACAGACAGACAGACAGACAGGCATACAACGGCATGTTCACGTATATGAGACATAGACAGATATGTGTGTGTATATATATATATATATATGTATGTGTATATGTGTGTATCTGCAGGGCACGTATATCCTTTCGGGGCCACCAGGCTGCACAGCCGACTTAACTCGGGCCACAACGCAGCACATGGAGAGGTCCAAGCGGACCTGAAGCCTTTATGGGTAGTTTAGGGGTTTAGGGTTTAAGGGCGTAGGGGTTTAGGGGCTAAGGGTTGATGGGTAGTTCTCTAACTTACGGTCACTTTTAGGGTCCTTTTTCAAGGGTGCTGTATTACATTGGGGACCTATAAGGGGACCCTAATTTAGAGAACTGCCTTCTTGAGCTGTAAAGACTCCACTCCGGACAAAAGCTTGTTAAGATTCGGATCGTAGTCCACCCCCTTGAAACTCCAACAGACAAAAACTCGTCAAAAAACTCGAACGCGATAAGAAGAACAGTAGCCATACTACCCAGGCTAGAAAGGTTCACACCCCCGAGACTCTACACGCTGCACCCTCGAATCTGAAACCCTATAACCCCAAACAAATCAATAACCCTAGCCTCCCATAAATACATAATTCGCATAAATAAAAATCTTGTGTGTGTGTGTACATATTATATATATATATATATATAAATGTCTATATGTCTATTTGTTTGTTTATGTGCACACATGCACACTATGGCTAGACAGGTGACTGGGCTTCTACGGCCTTATAGGCAGAGCATCCCCTGCCTTGCTGATGGCAGCGCTGGCGGCCGCTTCGAAGGCTGGCGAGTCTCGAGCACTCGCCTGCGCTCCACAGAGGTTAGGTTTAGGGCTTAGTTTAGGGTTTAGGGTTTAGGGTCTAGGGTTTAGTTCAGGGTTTAGGGTTTAGGGTTCAAGGATGAGGAGACCTATGAGGTGAACGGTTCAGGGAAAGGCCATTTAGGGAAGAGGGATATTGGGGTTAAGGGCTTCAGCGGATGTAGGCTTTTGAGGGGTTGAAGGTAAGGTTGCTTAGGCGATGTGGGATTTAGGGAGTCGGAACTTGGTGAAAAAAGCCCAGATACCATAGAGCTGGAGCATTTGGGGTTTGAAGCCATGCGTACTAGCATCACTAGAGGTTCTTTATTAGTGCCTGGTTACTCAAGGTAGGACATGAGGCTAAGGGGGTTTAAGGTATTAGGGGTTACGGGTTTGGGTTTCAGGCCGTTGGCCTGCACAGGGCGATGTGGCAGCAGCGGCAGATTTACTGCTTCTAGCGGCAGCTTTGTGTCTTGCGTTTAATGATTGATTAGGGCTTTTCGAGCAGGCTACTTCTGCTGGACCGGATGGGGTGCTTCCTCACAAGCCTAATATAAGTATAAGCACATATTATGATTTGGACTGCATTTTTCTACAATGTTCGAGCATTCATAATTACTTGAAAGACCATGCGTAGCAGGGAAATGTGTTCGTGTGCGTGCACGTGAGTGATCAAATGTATCTGTCTACGTCCGTCCAAACCATCATGCAATAGCGAGGCACACTAAGCCCTAAACCCTAAACCCCTAAACCCCTAAACCCCTATACCCTAAACCCTAAGCCCTAAACCCTAAACCGCTTGTGAGCTTCAAGGAGAAACTTCAGGCTGCAGACCTATCGGGCAGAGACACGCAGACAGCCAGCCAAGCAAACAGAAAGGCCTGGAAGTTGGGAAACACCGATGCTGCTCTGAATCGGTAATATAGGGGCCGTAGTAATTAGAATACCCAGGGTTTTGGGGGTATGTTCTACTAGAAATCATAATCAGGAACCCCCCAAAATGGCTTTGGTACTTATTTTGGCCTCTTATAATATGAGAATTGGCGGCAACATCTGTCTGCTGGCCTTTGGCCTTCGGGTCGCACTGTCCGCATGGAAAGACTTTATCAGCTGACATCTTACGCATTTGCCCGCGGCATTGCAAAAGTCATGCAAACAGCATCCACTATCTGATGTTAGCCTAGATTCCCACATGTTCATGTGCTTCATCTTCAGATTTAGATTGTTACCGTTTGCTCGATTTGCTGAGTTTGCTGTGAGCAGTGTATGGGTGGTCCTAAACCCTAAACCCTAAACCTTGCTGTGAGCAGTGTATGGGTGGTCCGTGGGTGGGCATAATCTTTATGCTACTGCGTGCAGAGCAGCCCACGCCCTGCCAAGCACACCTTCAACCCTGAACCCTATCCCTACCCTCAAAGGACTCATATTTTTTGGCTTTTGGGGCCAAAGACTCTATTATATAAGGCTTTTGGGCTATTTTGATGCTAAGGGTATAAAGCCCCCGAAGCTACTGTAAACCCTAAACCCCAAACCCCTCTGGAGGGGCCCCCTAAACCCTAAACCCTAAACCCCAAACCCCTAGAGGGGCCTCTGTAAAACACCAGGCCGCAGTTGCCAGGCTCTCGGGCGGGAGGCCTGTGGAAGGTGAAAGCGGAGGAGAAGAGTTTTGGGTTTTAGGGTTTTGGGGTTTTGGGTTTTGG